GGAGTCTCACGGTCTTTCCTGCCCAGGCTGGCTTTGAACCGCGATCCTCAGATCTCAGCCTCCTGAGTAGCTAGGATTACAGGCGTGAGCCACCAGCGCCCGGCTCCATGTTGGTTTTTATATTTAGTCTCATCCAGTGTGGTTTGGTGTCTGCGGGGAATAGAAGCCCAGATTGTAGTTACCATTCCTTTATCTAGAACCAGAAGAGTCCCCTGTCCAGTGGGGGTTTGCATTTGATAGGAAAACAAAGACTCCTTTTCCTGCAAATGATTTCATTCTATTCTCCTTTATGGTTAAGTAATTTCCATTGTGTTTATTTACATTTCCCTTATCAGCTTTTGAACCCTACAGGCAGATCCTATATTTTGGCTATAGTAAATGGTATCTCTGCTGTTTGCTGATTTAGCAATCCTTAGGCTAGCTGGCCAGGAGTGGTATATAACAGGTTCATAGGATATTCTATTTTTGTTTATATATATATATATATACATATACATATATGTGTGTGTACATATATATTGGCTGTGGGCCTGAACTCTGGGTCTGTCTGGGCACTGTCCCTCAGCTCTTCAGCTAGCACTCTACCACTTGAGCCACAGCACCACTTCTGGCTTTTTCTGCTTATGTCGTATTGAGGAATGCATGCAAGGCAAGCACTCTACCACTGAGCCACCTTCCCAGCCCTCTATTTTTATTTTTATGATGAACCTCCATACTGATTTTCTTAGTGGCTGCACTAATTTACATTGGCTTGGGGCCATTCTAAACATCAACATTGCTACCATAAAGCAGCCAGACCTGAAAAACCAGACACTCAATGGGCCACAAGAAAGATTCTGGTTAACAACTGTGAGAGCTGAAACTAGAAGGCAGAGTGCAGCCCTGGGTGACTTCAGAGGGGACCACCAATCAGGTGACTCCATTTCTCCAGTGTGTTTGTGGTTGTGTGTGAAGATGGCAGTGCACAAACCAGGTGGGGGGCAGGATTTGGAGGTTACAATAATCTCGGGGAGACTATTAATGCACGAGTGCAGCATCTCTGCCGTGAGGAATGCCTTGATTTTCTCCAGGATACAGTACCTGGGCCTCCACACTGCAGACGCTGGGCCCAGGGCATTCTCTGTTGTGGGGGCTTCTGTGCCTAGAGGCATGCATGTCCTCTCTGTGCACCCAGAGCTCACACGAGCCCCACATCATGCACTCCCATGCAAGGCCCCCCTAGAGGGCTGCTCCCTATCCTTCTTAGCCACCCTCTAGCCCTGCCAGCTTGGCTCACTTGAAGCCAACAAAATGGCTTTGCTGGCCACAGGGATATTGAGCATTCAGTGGCAGCTAGCATCCACATCTGTGGGTGTGGATTGGTGGAGCCCATAAATAACGGGACTGGTGAGAAGCAGGGAAGAGAGGGAGAGAGAAAAAGAGCAAGGGAGGGAGGGAGGGGGACAGGGATGATGGCTCAGATCTGTCACAGACAGCCATTTGTCAACAACAGAGGCAAAGCCGTACTGCCCTCCCCTCCCCCACCCCACAGCCTGACCTCACCCAGAGGCTGCAGGCTTGGTGACATGGCTAGGTCAGAGTGGTGTGAGTCACAGCACTGGATGGATCTGAATCTCAGGATATGCTCAGAGGGGCCAGGGATGGAGGCGACAGGCCCGGTTTGAACTGGGGCTTGAACTCAGGTCCTCGGAGCTGTCTCTGAGCATTTTCACTCAAGGTTAGCCCTCTACCACTTAAGCCACAGCTCCACCTCTGGCTTTCGTGGTATGTAATTGGAGATAAGAGTCTCATGGACTTTCCTGCCTGGGCTGGTTTCAAAGCATGATCCTCAGATCTCAGCCTTTGAGTAGCTAGGATCACAGGAGTGAGCCACCATCCATTCTGTCCATTCTGTCTGTAGACTAGGCAGGGATACAGGAAGTAGGAACATTTTGCCATTATCTTTCCCCAGTTGAACTTCAAGTACAGGGTCTGCGTGGCTTTCTGGATCATATGCTGGGGAAGATAGGATCTGGATTCCACCTTACAGTTGCTGAGCTACTTTCTGGTTAAAACTTGCAGCTATTGAGGAGGCTAAGATGTGGAGGATCATGGTTTAAAGCCAGCCCAGGCAGAAAAGTACAGAAGACTATCTCCAATTAACGAGTAACAGGTGGGCTGGAAGCATGGCTCAAGTGGTAGAGCACTAGCTAAGCCAGAAAGCGGAACGAGCTTTCCTGCAACCCAAAATGTCTGTTCACTGGCCATGGCATCTTTGGGGGTTGCTGTAGCACTGCGCCAGTAACTAGGAGAAATCTCCAAAGTTTCTTCTAAAAAATGAAATGCAAAAATCAATATATTCACGTGACCCAGGAAATAAAACAGTAGAGAGATGAGACACAGTGCCTTTAGATTTGAGCTTTAAAAAAAGATTTAATTTTTCCAAATTTAGATTAGTTTTCCTATGCAAATTCAGAGTTTGTTGTTTTTTCCTTGTGCTTCACAAAATCCACAGAATGGAGTCGTACAATGCAGGTCAAGGATTAAGATGGAGGAAAGAACAAAAATGCACATCTGGCAAACATATCCACTTGGCAAATAGCCATCGGTATATACTTTCATTGAGAATGTTCACCGAATAAGACAATTCCCCAAAAGCCAGCTTCCACATGGAATGGCTTGAGCCCAGGACCCCACCTGTCCCCTGGGGAGCCAGGGGGACTAAATAAGTACACTTGGGAAATTAACCTTTTGGGTTTTCATCAGGCCAGACACTGACACACAGGGATTCGGTCACTCCTGCATGCAAAAGGATGGATCCACAAGGATAGACAAAACAGATATCTGTGTCATTAGGAAAGGGACACACTGGCCTTCCCTAATGGCCTGTTTCCTTGGCTGAGCTGTCTCTTCCATGTGGCTCTTGCTGATTCTTCAAGAATGACATCACCAGGGCCTTGTTGGCAGGAAGTGGCAGCCCATGAGAGGGGAGGGCTGGCTGCTCCAGGTGGAGGGGGCACAGGTCAGGCCCCTCCCAGCTGGGCAGGACTTAGTCCTGTGGCCAGGGTGAGTGGAGGACCAAGGCCTCTGTAACTTCTGGCCCTTGTGAAGGCCCAGAGTGGCTAGTCCAGCCCATAGCCCTGCCTGAGACTCAGCAGGCCCCTCAGCTCTGGCTATCTCCTGGTATTAGGGAGAACTCCCCAATGGCAGCTCCAGTTTCCCCTTTCCTAACAACTTCTATCTAGAACTAGAAGTGGCCAAAAGCCACAGACAGTATCCCTGATGGGTCAGCCCAGGGCTTGGTGCTTATTGATACGTGTCACACAAGGACCCTGAGACTTCTAGTGCAGATCCAAAGCCCCCAGGACCTGCCTTACTCATCCTGCTACTGAGGGGTAGGCTGGGAACAGAATTCAGTTCCCACTCCATGTTCCATTATTTGGTCCCAATCTCCTGGAATCCATCAAATAAGGGGTGTGTGTGTGTGCGCGTGCGTGTGTGTGTGTGTGTGTGTGTGTGTGTGTCTCTCTCTCTGACCTCAGGGCCTCATGCTCTCCCTAGGCTTTTTCACTGGAGGCTGGTGCTCTACCACTTGAGCGATGCCTCTACTTTCAGCTAGTTTGGAATCACAATGTTCAGATCTCAACCTCCTGAGTAGCTGGGATTACAGATACAAGTCATTGGTGCCTGGCTGGTTTTGTTTCTGACACTGCTTCCTCCATGCTATAAATCCTTTTTGAAGTTTAGAAGATATGGTTAAAAACATACCAAAGGTATAAGACACAGTCAGCAAATGAGGACGCATGCTCTGTTGGGCCACAGACCTGGAGCTCCCGTTTCCTCCCTCCCTCCCCTTTCCTTGTGCTCTTGGAGTAAGAGGGGGAGAAACTCTTTCCAGCACAAGCAAAGCACAAGGACAACACAGGCAAGTGGGGCCCTCCTGAAGCTGGGATCAAATGACTCTGCCCAGCATTGGTGGGACCCCCTCCATGCAGGGCCCCCGTTCCTGAGCATCTTATAAGAGATGGAACAGGCAAAAAAGTTGAGTGGGCTCCCATTACCCTTTGGGCCTAGTGATCCACAAGGTCAGAAACCCGGCATGGCAGAGCGGAGCCCCCCAATTCCCAGAGCGTGCAAGGCACCAGCAGGCGCCATATGAACCCCGCCTGAAGGGTGACATGTGGCTCTCCTTACCAGAAACCTTAGTCAAAGGCTCCTGACCACTGTTGCAGTCCTCCATCTGCTCATGGGTGGTAAGGGACAGGCCTGGCACCCTGCTTGGAGCACCAAGTGATGCCAGGAGCTCTGGTACGAGTAATGTAGCTCATGACACAGCTGGGGTTCATCCGAAGGACCAGGAGAGACATGCAGATCTAAAAGGCAAGCTGCCTGCCCAAGGAAAACACTCCAGCCCTACAATGCTGAGAGATTCTTGCCATAGCCAGAACTTGGCTCCAGAACCCCAAGTTCAGCTGGCTGACCATAAGCAGTCCCAGAAAATCAGGAGTACAACTCCAGCAGGCCATGGTGGCACCCTTCTACCAGACTCAAGTACCCTGGCACAGAGGCCTCTGGTCCTTTCTAGTCCCAGCCAGATTGTATGCTGAGTGTGTACAGTCCCACCTCGTTGCTTCTCTCAACACCCCACCACCAAGGCCCCAAAGCCACTTCAGTCCATCAGAATGCTTGCTGTGCTGGTCCTGCTGTGGCTGGGTTTGGGATGTGCGGGTGGAAGTCATGAGCTAGAAAGGTCCCAGGCCCTCTGCTGCTCCATGGAACAGGATACACGGCAGAGGATGGGGCTGGTCACCAACTCTTCTTTAAAAAAGGTACAGCTACTGGACAGCAGGGGGTCGTTTAATGCCAAACCAAGTCATTCCTCACTGCAGGTAACCAGGCAGGCAGGCCTTCCAGGTCCCCAAAGGTTAGAAAGGAAGGGCTGAGCATTAGGAAGGTATCTCCCCCAATGTCCACATGGACAAGACCACAAACACTCCACTATGGAGGACATCCAGGAAGAATCCAACTTGGAAAGAATTTAATTAACAAAATACAGTAGAGGGAAATTGTCCAGGTGGGCTGGAGGGCAAGAGGCCGCCATCCAGGTCGGCCCCCAGCGGGCGGCCCCCGCCTGTCCCCGCGGAAGCCCCCCCTGCCCATATTCCTCCCGCCTTTGTGGCCTCCCAAGGATGGCCTCTCATTGAGGCTGACCACGGCAATTGCTATTGGGAGGCTGGAGCGCTCCGTGCTGGCGTGGCATGGCATGCACACAAAGCCAGGAGACTCCAAGGACTTCACCAATCCATTCATTTTGGCAAAAAAAAAAAACAAAAAATTAAAAAAAAAAAGAGAGAAAACAGAAAGCTAAAATCCATAAGCAGGATGAGAAGCCACTGAAGTGAAACGTGTTTTCTCCAGAGTGGAGGTGGACTATCGTTAGGACCCCGCTTGGGTGTGCCGTCCTCTCCCGGGCCCCAAGTTCATAGCAGCAGTGTGCAGCCCTCAGCAGGCGGCGTGGCCGGCTCAGTCCGTGCGGAGGATCATGGGGGGATGCTCACTGTCCTCATCCAGGCGCAGGGCGCTGGCTTCCTCCTCCAGGCAAGTACCGCCCACGGCACCCAGGTCGTCCGTGTAGGCTGTGGAGAAGCCCAGGAGAGAGACCCCAGGCGTGAGGCACGTGCCATGTGCCTCTCCCCACTCCATCCTGCCATGCACAATGAGCAGCTTTTGGTGGTACAGGCCACAGGGAGGAAAACTGAAATGCTTCAGCTCTACAGGTGCACAGGAATACACTCTGCACTTTGAGTGACAGGAAGGAGGGCCACCTCAAAGAGGTAGCAGGTATGGCCTCCACGTGGGACCGCAGGGTTTGGGGAAGTGGGCTCACAGGGAGCAAGAGGGCCACGCGCCAGTGAGCCTGGCTATGAGCTCACTTGTGGCGCAGGCACACTCATGGCTACACTCGAGGGCACAGGCAGGGTGTGTGACAGGCGGTAGGCCGGGCTGCCAAGGCCACTTTGATGGTAGCCTGACTGCTTGGGGGATGAGCCGGGGGTTGCTACTTGAGGCCCATCTAAACAAAAAAGTGGGCCTGGCAGTATAGGCCAATAATACCAGCTACATGGAGGCTAGGAAGATCTTAGTTCAAGGCTGGTTCTGGGAAAGACCCTATTTAAAAAGTAACTAAATGAGGGCTGGGAATGTGACTTAGTGGTAGAGTGCTTGCCAAGCATACATGAAAGCCCAGGGTTCAAGTCCTCAGGACCATATACACAGAAAAAGCCAGAAGCGGTGCTGTGGCTCAAGTGGTAGAGTGCTAGCCTTGAGCACAGAGAGGGTCAGGGACAGTGCCAAGGCCCTGAGTTCAAGCCCCAAGCCCAGCAAAAAAAAAAAAGTAACTGAATGAAAAAACACTTCGAGTGTGATTTCTGCATAGGAAGTACAAGCACCTGAGTTCAAACCCCAGCACCATGAAAGAGTTCTGTCTTGTAAAAGAAAAAAACTCAGCCTTGCAAGGAAGCAAAGGCTTATTTACAATGCCAGCTGTGTGGGGCTGGCAGGTGGGGACAGGGCTGGTGAAAGCCTGAACAAACCTCCGGGAGCGTGGCAGGGTCACTTACCTTCTAAGTTGGTGTCTTGCCCCTTGCCAAGTCTGGTGGGAGATGAGGGCGTGTAGGCACCTTTGGCCGCCGCTGTGCTGTACGTCTGAGTAACTAGTGGGCAGTCGTGGGAGGCAGAGTCTACGATTTCACTGGTGGTCTCCATGCTGCCATCCAGCCTAGAGGGGGCGACAAGGTGTGAGACACCACAGCACGACAGCACGCCTCTCGCCAGGAAGATGCCAAAGGGTGCCTATGCTCTGGAAGGCTGAGATGCTTCCTTGTCTGTTCACATGGTGTACTTTGCACAGGAAGTTTAGTGAGTTACAGGGAGTGAGGAAATAGGATTTTGTTTTTATAATGAGCGATCACAAAATTTTTTAAAAAATCATGTATTTTTACAGGAGTGTGTCTCCACACTCTGTGGGAGTGTGGAGTCCCAGCACTCAGGAGGCTGAGGCAGGAGAGCTGAGTCCCAGGCCAGCCTGGGGTGCATAGTGAGACCCCATCTCAAAAACACTGAGGGGGCTGGGAAGTTGGCTCAGTGGTAGAGCGTTTGCCTTGCATGCCTGAGGCCCTGGGTTCGATTCCTCAGCACCACATAAGCAAAAAGAAAAAAGCCGGAAGTGGCGC